CAAAATTCCTCTTTTCATCCGGGCTTGGGACCGGCGGTAGCCCCAGAAAGCCCCGAGCGGAGAAGAGGAAGACCAAAGAACACATACCGAGAAATGGAGACAGAAATGAAAAGAGTGAACAAAAGTTGGATAGAACTAAAAAGGAAGGCCCAGGACAGAGTGGGTTGGAGAATGCTGGTCGGCGGCCTATGCTCCATTGAGAGTAACAGGTGCAAGTAAGTATATTCTGAAAATAGTTATCGAATGCATACTGATTTACGGACACGATCAGATTGAAACATATAGTAATGCTGTAATGTTCGTACTTAATGATGATTTCTGTGTAAATTATTTTTGCTTATTACGAATTTCAAATACAGTTCGTTCATTCGTGATCATCGTATTCTATCTGACTTAAACTGGACATCTATGGAAGTACCTAGTTACCATATTAATTTGAATATTTCAGAATATCATAAATGTAAAGGACAGATAGATAATTTCAGATTGTTTTAAATGATATACTGAGAAATTACTTAGTGCACACATTTGTCATATAGATTACAACAGTGTTATGCATCATTTGCGGAACACTAATTCTTTTTAAGAGGTTTAAAACATCCTGTTGATGTATGAAAAATGTGTTCAAGATGAATTCCAGGGCCATTACCGACTACTTGTGGTCTTTTACAACTAGAACGATGATCAAGCAGAGCACATAACAAAAGCGACAAAAAATTATTGTGACAGGTCTGGCGTTATCTAAGTGTTAAATTGCTTTATAATCTTCTGTTTGGGATAGAAGTTATTTGAACTAGTTAAGTGTATTAGGGACAGTGCAATTGTAATATTATCTGGAGGGAGAAAATTTTATTGAGTATCCTCAATAATAACAATGATTAATCATTTAATGTTTCCATGATTTAACTAGTCTAATGAGACATATTTAAACGTGTAAGCACATTTAAAGTGGTATTAGAGAAGTGACAAACAAATAATTGGAGTGATTTTATTTCGTGGACAGATTAAGGTAAATTATTAGACACTCGAAAATTTACGGGTACATTCATATGGGAAAAAGTTAGAATGAGATCGCTTTGTTAATGACAAGTGATGGATACTACAACTAGGCGTTTCTGCATATTTAATTGGATCATTGTATGCAAAAGATAGTTTATAGATTACTTTGAAGAAGAAGATGGAATTAAATCCAAGTCTCTGCTTCTTTAAAGATTCGAATTCGAACTTGTAGCATCTGGATTATTAGTTTGACGTGCTATAAGTTCGAAGTGTAAGTAGCTTCTAAACACATTCCAATCTTGATTTCTCTTTGATGCGAGTACTACTAAGGATAAAAGTGCAGTATTCTAGGAATGGTCGGACACATACTTTGTACATTAAAGTACGCGAATCATTGTTATAAAGATTACGAAACAAATAGATGAGAATTCGTTGTGACTCGAAGGTCTGTTTGTAAATCTGTCATGAGAAGGACAAATTGTGTAAATACCTTAGTCGTAAGTCCACAACTGTATGAAATTTAGATTAAACCTTACCACTTATAGTGAAATCTAGGTTGAGTAAATGACTATCAAACCAAATCCATCCACATTTTCAAGTGCAGAGTTCCAACTTTCGTTTAGAGCACCATAGAGCTATCTTATTGACCACCATACGTGTATAGTTTTGTTTTTGGTTTAGCTCATGAGGCGAAGAAGAATACACCAATTTTAGGTACTCTAAATATAGAAAAGACTTTTTCATTCAAAAGTAGTTGTAGATATCATTCATAGAAGCTATAAAGATTTAATTTCTTTAGACACTACTTAAATTATCTCATTTGTGACTGAGACATCATAAAAAAGGTGAATTTATTTTGACAATTTAATGTCAGTGACTGAGGAGACCGAAGTTCAGTGTGAATACATATACTCATATAATGCATTAAAAACGACTTCTTAATAAGAACGAACTTTCCATAAAATATCCTCATAAAAGTGTAATAATGATGCTTTAATGAACTTTTCATACACATACACGCAATATCTCGTGAAAATTAGTGAACGTTAGTGGAAGGTGAATATTATATCTTTTTAATTTCAAACTGATTTATCAGTCTAAATAACTTGAAGCTAAAATTAACCAATGCCTAAATCGGCGTTACATTTTATGGCAATACTTCAGTCATTACTTCTCTCACATGACCTGGCAGAAATGAGTTGCCAGATTATTCATGTCCAATTTGTACTTGCTGACACCAGAGTATATCATTAAATAATTGCGATTGTGCTCCAGTCAATAAATGACTAATTGTTCAACATCATGACGACACTTAAATAGTTATATTCGATAGTAATCAGTTTTAATCTTGTTGAACGTGAAAGTAAACCTCCGAAAGAATTAACTTATGTAGTCCGTGTAATGTTATTTTAGTCTAAGTGCGTTGTTTTGATACAGTATCCATTAACAAGGATCATGGTAGCCCATTTAGTACGAATACACAGTTTTGAAAACAAAGTAGTTTCAGTTGCTAAAGACAAAAGGTTGAGAGACGTGTGGTAATCTTGGCAACTGAAGCACATCTACTGATTCAAACGTCCCCACTTCGAATCCACGAAGCTAAACAACGTAAAGTAATTAACATGTGTACAACTGAGTGAATCCTTTGAAAATCATTTCCAAAGTGTCTTATTTGACAGTATAGATACTTATTCTTCAATTTATCTCCCCCTTCTACTTCTGTGTATGTTAACTATTTTTCACGAATTGTTCAGCAATATTTTCACATTTATCAGTCTGGAACTTCGTAATTCGACTCTATTCCGTATTTGCCATAAGCTTGTCATTCTATCATTGTATGTGACTGCAATGTTGACAATAGATCATGCTTCAACGAACTGAAGGTTGTAGAGTAGTGCAATCATTGAATAATACTCTTTGTTTTGTTCCACAACCACATTGTACAACTTGATTTTGATCGACGTAAGTTTGATCTTATTGAGTGGGTAGTATTCTTGTTGATTCTCAAGTATTTTACATTTGTAGTTAGTAACTATGGTTCACTGTGTAGTACGGTATTGAATGACAGCAGCTCTTGACTGTATAGTGACCGAGAGTGATGGAAATGATTTAGAAGTCTAAATAACTTGGAATCACAGTCAATAAATTTTCACGTCGGCAATAAATCGATCTGTTCACTTCATTTGAAGCGTCTATCATCTGATCTGGATCAAATGAATTGCAGGATTTTTCAAGAACTAGTTTGCATTTGCTGATGTGTGAGCATGCTAAAAAACAAATCTGATTGTGTTCAAATCAATAATTGGTTAAGTAATATATATGTCATGTTTTGAACAATCATATTGTTCATGATTGTGTTTTTACTATATTACATGAAAATTAGTCAATGAATAACCTTTGTTTTTATGAAATACGTGTGGTTATATTAACTTTGATTAGTTTAAAGGAGTCGTACACCCAATTGTAGGTTTTTTGTTTTTAAACAAATCCATGTTATTTGTTTTTGCATCGATGTAAGTTTGATGTTTATGAATGCAATTTAGTCAAGACTATTTAATTACTTCAAGTTAGTTTTCAACAGTTTTAATAATCTGACAACAGTAACAGAGGTTCAGTGCATCAAATCAAAACAGGAATATGGTGAATTTCGGATTATCAAAATGGTAAAATGTACAGGTATGAATTCTTTTATGAGAGATAATTTTCATTCTGTAATCTAATATATATCATGAAGACTATGTTGCTGTAATGAAATAACCTAATCATTATATTAGGTGAAAATTATACTAACAGTTAGATTCCCTTATAAAACATCTAGTTATTTCAAGTGTATTTTCATTGGGAATCAAACCAGTTTGGCAATTTATTAGAAGTTAAATAAGCCTTAAGAAGCATGTTGAATAGTTTTGTTATCTTCAATATGGACAATTTAAATCAAAAAAATTTCCATTAAAATACTGCTGGTTATCAACAAAGTAAATTCTAAAATGAAGTGAATTTTGAAATCATTTTGTTCCCTTGAATTATTAATTATTATTAATGACATTCAATGGAACTTGATTTTTTTAAGAAAAATTCACGGACTGTTAGTGGTGAAGATACATGAGTGTATCAGAAAGACGACTGGTTTCTCATTAGATTATGTTGTTTGGAGAAAGGTAGGTAAACGAATTAAGTGGTATGCATCATTTGAGGAAAATATTATACACAGAAAAGTTTATTATACTGAAAAATCATTGATTCATCTATGCATAATCATCGCATTTCAAATCATCTAGATTAAGAATGAAGTTGTAAGATTATCATGAATCGTCTCTCTTAAGTCTATATGGACAACGTTTCATGAGACTGAAAATGACAAAAAATATTTAGAATAGAATGTTATACTTCTTATATATGTTCATAAGTATTCGAACGTGTTTGGCAGGAACTGGGAACTAAACTTCTAGAAGACATCAAGTGTCAAAATGTTATATTATAATTAGATTTTTGAAATAGACTTGTCTCAATTGATTTAAACGGTTACAATGCAGTTGTTCAATTTATTAAGGTTGAGCACATATCACCCGAAATTCGCAAGATTAAGAGTTGATATGATGAATTTTTTCAGTGTTGCTTATATATTGTTAAATGACTTTGATGACCGATGTTTTGTCTAGATAGTTTAATTTGATCATCCATAGTTTTTCAAAAAAGTGTACAATATGATAGGAGGAGTAAATGTGATTGAGCGAGACGGAATACTCCAATGCGAAAATTTTCTAAAGATTCATATTCCTCTTACCCTCGTCCAAACGAAGGACAGACATGGAGAAAATAAAATGAAAACTTCTCTTTCAAAAGCAGTCATCAGTATCGTTTTATTTTCTTTCTGTTTACATACTTTGAGTAAAATCTCTAAGACTGCAAAAATGAGAAATAGACAGACACTGTAGTCTGTATGCAAAATTATCTGTATGCAAATTTGTTTTCGGGTTATCTTGATCAATTAGCTGTAAAACGAATTTATGTGTTCGTATCAAACATATGAAATACACCAATCATTTTCCTATACTTTAAACAATCATTATTCGTTGTATACGACATGTGTTTAAAAAAAGGCTACCATCCTAAATTTCTAAACATTTAGTTGGTTTCTGTACGTTGAATCGTGTATAGAAGTAAAACGGAAGCTATATTGTTCTTACCAGGAATATTTCTGTTCGTAAATTTCTGTTGAGTAAACATGTATTTATGAATCATTGTTTAATTTTCGGCAGCGAGTAACCTACATTTTATGAAACCATTTTATTGTATGTTCATGATGGCCTATATTTGTCTTGATACTCAAAATCAAATATGAAATATGACTAAATATTTTGTTATTTAATAAAAAATATCTAATTTAAATGCAATATTTAAAGAATAAATATACCTTATGGAATTCCTCACACTTTCCAGAATTACGACAATTTATAACTGTGGAATCTTCATGTACTGGATTATTATTTAACCATGCAAGACCTCAAGATTTTGTGAAATCTCAAGTACGTGCAGTATTCCAATATATTATATAATTTGTTTTAGTAATAAAGTATCTTGTAGGAAGCTGAAAGATGTTTGTGTGATGACTGGTGTGTTATTAGTTTAGATATTTCATAAATTCAAAAGTTTAGTGTTATGATGTGCAGTGTCGAAACCGATACACATAGATTTTATAGATCACAAAGATTCTTATATGCAACTGAGTGCTACTGAGTGAGAAGACTAAGGGTGAAGGAGGAAGTTTATCGTTTAAACTGAATAAAATCCATATGCACTCATTTATTTTTATACATATATACTTTCGAGAAAATGAAACCAATGCTTGGTTAATACTATGGACTTATCATTAGGATTTTGATAGACATATCGTAGCCTTCTAGTTTGACGGCTTGTGATTAATATACTGGATCACTTAAGTTGGTAAAAAGTGACTGCATCTGTGGTATTCGGATAGACAATACTTGCTAGCAGATATCAGTTGGGTAATTCTGGAACTTTAGAGGAGGTTGTTGTTGGTCTAATGATGTTTAAAAACCAAAGCTAGTGGCTATCTGCAAAGTTGATCGACTTAATTGTCCCAGCAAAAAAAACCAAATAACAATGTACTGTCTAAACTCCAGTTAGTATAAATGTTGCCTGTAATCGTGATCCCATGAAGAGAAAACCCAAACTACATAACTATGGTATCACAAACAACAACAAAGCTCATCATTGACTGATCAATTCTCTTAAATGCTAGGATGTGACAAGGTGATTTTTGTGAATTCGTATTAAAGCTTTGATCCATATTATCATCAAAATCTAAAATGATAAAAAGACATTCATTAGCCTGGTTGAATAATGGTAAATTCATAGCATTATTCAACCAAGATCCGGAATCTCATTTATTTTTCTGAGATCATATTATTCTGGGTTAACACGTTCTCTGTGAAAGCTTATTGATACCGTTTCAACTAATTCGTAATAGTACTATACATTTAATTATATTGTGATAATGTTACATTTATTTTGATTAAAATTATGATTTTCTTTGTACTCCACTCTCCATTACCGAATAAGGTCATTTAGAAAAAATAAAGAAAAATTTACTAAAAGACATTTTGTACAGAAGATGAATTGTGTGATGAAACGCTTTTCATCTGTTTAGTACTAACCGTACATAAATGGGGGTGTACGACTCCTTTAAACTAATCAAAGTTAATATAACCACACGTATTTCATAAAAACAAAGGTTATTCATTGACTAATTTTCATGTAATATAGTAAAAACACAATCATGAACAATATGATTGTTCAAAACATGACATATATATTACTTAACCAATTATTGATTTGAACACAATCAGATTTGTTTTTTAGCATGCTCACACATCAGCAAATGCAAACTAGTTCTTGAAAAATCCTGCAATTCATTTGATCCAGATCAGATGATAGACGCTTCAAATGAAGTGAACAGATCGATTTATTGCCGACGTGAAAATTTATTGACTGTGATTCCAAGTTATTTAGACTTCTAAATCATTTCCATCACTCTCGGTCACTATACAGTCAAGAGCTGCTGTCATTCAATACCGTACTACACAGTGAACCATAGTTACTAACTACAAATGTAAAATACTTGAGAATCAACAAGAATACTACCCACTCAATAAGATCAAACTTACGTCGATCAAAATCAAGTTGTACAATGTGGTTGTGGAACAAAACAAAGAGTATTATTCAATGATTGCACTACTCTACAACCTTCAGTTCGTTGAAGCATGATCTATTGTCAACATTGCAGTCACATACAATGATAGAATGACAAGCTTATGGCAAATACGGAATAGAGTCGAATTACGAAGTTCCAGACTGATAAATGTGAAAATATTGCTGAACAATTCGTGAAAAATAGTTAACATACACAGAAGTAGAAGGGGGAGATAAATTGAAGAATAAGTATCTATACTGTCAAATAAGACACTTTGGAAATGATTTTCAAAGGATTCACTCAGTTGTACACATGTTAATTACTTTACGTTGTTTAGCTTCGTGGATTCGAAGTGGGGACGTTTGAATCAGTAGATGTGCTTCAGTTGCCAAGATTACCACACGTCTCTCAACCTTTTGTCTTTAGCAACTGAAACTACTTCGTTTTCAAAACTGTATATTCTTACTAAATACGCTTCCGTGACGTTTGTTTGTGAATAATGTTTCAGAACTGTTATAACTTTTGGTCTTATGCCCTAATAATGTATAAGGTAATGATACCGCCAATTAGAATACAGTGATTTTTCGGCCGGAGCAATGGTACATAACACCTGTACGAGCAATCTGGAGTCTTTATTGGTCCTACTTCTTGCCTAGGCCTACCTGTTAATTCCAGAACAGCAATTTCAGCCTCCACGATATGAATCATGTATATCAAACATACTGGGTTTATATACAAACCAAACAGACCATATCATAACGCAAAATGGAAAATATCATTTGTACAATATCTAGCCGACAGTGGCTGTGAGTGTGGGAAGCTATAAGTAATAGACTGGTCATAACTCAAAAACGGTCAATCGTATAATAGTCTGTAGGTCAAAATAAAGCTTTTAATAATGGGGACATGAATATGCATAGTTTAGCTACTTAATAATTATACAATAAAAATATATGTATCGTATCGTTCCATAAGTAGGTCTCAAAACTTACCATTCATAATTATTGTCCGGATCTAACAAGTACAACGCACTTAGATTAAAAGAACGTTACACGGAATCATATGACTGTTATATAAGATAATACTATCTGAGGTTCACTTTTACACTTAGCAAATTGTCACCATTTTTGCCTGTTCTGGTCTAAAATGAATGAAACGATTTTATTGTATTTAACAATAAATTAACATCTTCAATAGTAAAATTTGTGCAGTTATGGTCAACCATATTGAACATGCTTTTTAACAAACCTAGTTTGTAATGAACTGGTGAATAAATATGGAAACTAGGATATTGGCCTGTCAATGTCATACCCATATCACCTATAAAAACACATATTTCCGATCATGTCTTCGGCTAAGTTTTCCACATATACCATAAACATATCAAATAATAATGTTAGTGAAGATCTAACCATGGCAAACTGATCAATCTGTTAAAATTATTCACAACGAAATATGAATTTGACTTTATCTCTGAATAGAAGTAGCAAATCTTTTGGAAATATCTCTTAATGGGCAATATAAGATTTCAGAGGTACTTTAATGAAAACGGAACTCTCCTCAAATAGATACGTTGTGTTTTTCCTGATTTTAAAATCATATAAATAATCAACCAACCTAAAAGAATTTTCCAGTGAATATTTACATAAATATTTTTGAATAGGGTTTAGTCGTTTCGTCAGCCACTTAACGAGATCGACTAATGGATAAAACTGGATGTAGAGGATTGTTAGTTTTATCAATTTTAGACAATCTATATAAATTGGAACATTTTAAACCGATAGGACATGAGACATTAGACCCCCCTTAAATATTCATGTGCAGTAGTTTCATAAAGTCTGAATTCATTTTTCTTTCAAATTTAAAAACTTTTTCAGATTCAATGCAAGACATAAATTTAGTTTTACCACTGAAATAGGATAACATCCCACTTTCATAATCACTCTTGACTCTTTAGTAGGTTTAAATAGAACAATCTCACAATTATTTCGCAATTGCTTATGTGCTTTAAAATGTTGAGAAGTTAATATGCCTCTCTGCCTTGTAGAACTATAGAACTGGTGAGCTATTTATCATATATAAATGCCTTGTCAAGTAAATGCGCGATCACATGAAAATTTAGTACGCTAGTATATGATATAGTTCAAATAAATTTCGTCTTCTCATTGCACCATCTAAATTCAACAAAGAGACTAAATCAGAAGGGGTTTTGTGGAGATTTTAGTATTTTTATGGAGTTGAGATCATGAGTCAATTGAAGCTAGACTACCATGGAAAACCTGGAAGCACTGGACGGCCGTTTCGTCCTATTATGGGACTCCTCAGCAGTGCGCGTCCACGAACCCACTCTCGCGAGGAGGAGTCCCATAATAGGACGAAACGGCCGTCCAGTGCTTCCAGGTTTTCCATGGTAGTCTAGCTTCAATTGACTCATGATCTCAACTCTATAAAGAGACTAAATGTTTTAAGTAATTAGCGATAAATGACGTGCTGTAAAGGCATATCAGAATATTATTTATATATTATTATAACGAACATATTTGAGCTCGTTTGTAAGGCCAAACAACAATCCCGATATCCAGTGAAAAAATCCTGATCATGATTTTATGGGAATTTCTGTAGAAACTCGTAACGCGTTAATGAGCACCATAGCTTCTCTAAAAGCTGAGACACTCTAGTTCTCACTGTAGAAATGATTTTATCTAGAGTTTTTAAAGTGCTCAACTTCCTATATACAAAGTTTATTTAGTTGCATTTGACTTTACAACAAATGTGAATCCATTTGGTTTTACGTTTGTAGACGTGAATAAAAGTATTACCATCATAAATCCCTGGTTGTGTTTTGAGAGAATTATTTTTTGTCATTCCAATAAACTTTTCATCACTCTATTTCGTGTTGCTTGGGATGATTTTCAACACCGTGTATAAGTAAGTGAGTGGTTACTGTTTAAACAGTGAAAAGTTAAACATTAAAAGTGTTGGATGCCAGCTTAGTCGTCTAGAGGCTTTTCGTTCGAACGCCAAACCGAATGTCCTGGGTTTGATCCTCGTATGAAGAATCATGGATACATACTGTTAAGTACTGGCAAGAAACAGCCGTCCAGTTTTTCCAAGTCTTTAACAGTGGTCTAGCTAAGATCGTTCGTGATTTCAAAGGTGGAGAAGATAACTGACTTGAAATACTTTTTACGTTGAGCATTAAATGAAATATAAATAACGAAACTGTCAATAAACGAACATTTCGAAATTCACAAGCAAATCTACTAGAGAATTTTTAATTGTTTACTGACTCATCTAGTCACTTGATAATATCAACATTTATTTTTCTTTAATTTCTCCAGTGGGTGTGTTTCAAACCGAAATATTTCACAATATATCGTGCGTCTCTGGCAACTCTTTTGTTAGTATGGATTATATACGATGTTGTTAGAGAAACAATCAAACATTTCGATCATTCTAAGTATGGTTGGATCACGTACGCTACAAATTGGGGATTTCTGCTACTTACCATAGTTCATATATCACTAGCTATCTACTGCTTGATTCACAACATAAAATGTAAGCAATTTTATTTATGCAATTAAATTACATTTAAATCATATATTTGTAAAAGTCAAGTTTTATGAATATTACACTTTAGCTACCTTTCATCCATCAGTAATGTAAATTATAGCAATTGAAATAAAATCGTTTCAAACAAAAAACACACATTTGATTGATTACTAGGTGGTGATCAATGTCATGCGTGTCGAGTCCTTCTTAGTGCTGATCGAATGCCATAGGTTAAGTTGCAATGTGGCCTTCAGTCTAGGTGACTCGACACTGCGTGCACAAGATTTCTCAGAGAAAAAATCTTATAAGGCTTGGAGACGTTGTAGATTAAAAAAAGTTTATGTAATTAGTGTTTTTGGTGAGCTTTTTCTATCAAAGTTCAAGAAAATTTTCATGAATTTATAATGGGACTGGTTTACAATAAAAAAAGTACTTAAATATTGATGATTCCCAGTAGATCAATGTCGTTATTGGATATTAAGATAAAATATCTTCATTTTGTGGTAAGGGAAGTAAAAACTTTAATAAATTTTCAAATGACATTTTATATTCATTCCACTAATTTGGAAATAAAAATTAATAAGTCATAAATAATCTATAAGAACTTTCGTTTAAATTAGAGCGAATAGTGTCACAGTATTTGGGCACCGAGTTGATGTAAGACATTAAATAGGAATAAGATATTTGTAAAATCTCAGTGAATGAATTTGTAATAAATCCAACGTTTCGCCTGGCAATCTGGTTCAAGCTTTTTCAAGGAATCATCATCAAACATCAAAATTATGGAATATAAATAGGTACATGGTTCTCCGGTTCACTGTATACTGAATAGGTCATCCAATCAACGTTAAAAATGTCTAAACTACGTATATGTATTAGTGTGTAAGAGACTTGTGATGTGAAATGATATGTGTTAAGATAACATATTGTATATGTGTACGTAAGTGATGAAAACATCCAAACAATATTAATAGGAGGGATGGAATACAATTATCTGTGCCATGGCAGCTAATCATTAATAAGTAAAAACCTGAACTCATTTCCGTTTTATCTATCTCGTATTATCTGAGTGACAACAATTACATTCAATGATTCTAATCAGCTGTCTTATCGGAATTTGTTAAACAATTAACTGGAACATTAAAATAACACAAATATTCAGTTTCAAATTACACTCTTCCTCTTCGAATTCACTCTTTCATATTGTTTATCATCATTTTATACATGTTGTGACATACATGATTCATATCATATATTAAAATTGTATGTTTTCTTAAAAATCCACCGATAGGAAACAATATATTGTGAACGAAATTTCTCCTCTCGCGACTTACGTACACATATACAATATGTTATCTTAACACATATCATTTCACATCACAAGTCTCTTACACACTAATACATATACGTAGTTGAGACATTTTTAACGTTGATTGGATGACCTATTCAGTATACAGTGAACCGGAGAACCATGTACCTATTTATATTCCATAATTTTGATGTTTGATGATGATTCCTTAAAAAAGCTTGAGCCAGATTGCCAGGCGAAACGTTGGATTTATTACAAATTCATTCACTGAGATTTTACAAATATATTATATATCGGAAGGGGTTCAGTGGAGATTTAGTATTTTTTATAGTTGAAAGCGTGAGTCAATTGAAGTTAGACGACCATGGAAAACCTGGGAGCACTGGACGGCCGTTTCGTCCTATTATGGAACTCCTCGGCAGTGCGCATCCACGACCCCGCACTCGCGAGACTCGAACCCAGGACCTACCAGTCTCAAGCCAGAGCCCTTAACCGATAGACCACTGAGCCGGCATCCAACGGTGTTAATGTCTAGCTTCAACTGATTCACGAAATTGAATTTACTCACGCTTTCAACTATGAAAAAAATCTCCCCTAAACCCTTCTGATAATTAATATAATCATATGCTCACTAGTGACTGACTTCGAGAAGTACATCCAGGAGTTCTAGTGAGAAGCAGTGACCAGTGGAGTTCAAACCACGTCTGTTGTGAGATAGGAACTCACTGAAGACAATTGGTGAACGGCTGCTCAACTTCGTGGATCAGTTGAATTTAGACATTAACACCGTTGGATGCCGGCTCAGTGGTCTATCGGTTAAGGGCTCTGGCTTGAGACTGGTAGGTCCTGGGTTCGAGTCTCGCGAGTGCGGGGTCGTGGATGCGCACTGCCGAGGAGTTCCATAATAGGACGAAACGGCCGTCCAGTGCTCCCAGGTTTTCCATGGTCGTCTAACTTCAATTGACTCACGCTTTCAACTAAGAAAAATATATTACTCCTTTTTAATGTCATAAATAATCTTTATATGAGAACACTGATCAATATTATTAACTCAGTGTTAAACAAATCACTAAATCTAAAATAAGTAGTCAGTTGCCATCTTTTCTTGCCAATTTATTGGATTTTGTTAGTTTGAATATCTTCAGATACTGTCACTTCCAATTCACTGTTATTTCAACAAATGAATGTACCTATACACATGTAAATTAATAAACTCGATGAGTTATAACATAAGATCTTGACTTTTGGGAAAATATACAACTTGTTTTTTCAATAATGACTTGTTGTATAATGCGTTTTACTGGGAAATGATGACAGTGATATTTACAGTCTTTTGATTGTCGGAAGTGTAGTAGGTCTCATCATATTTTAACCTTCCCTTCAATTCATGAGTTTTAGGAAATAATCATTTTCTATGAATGTTTGTTTAATAGCTTCACCTCATCTTCGGCATTATTTGAACAAATTTAATTAATCGTATTAACTAAATCAATTGTTGAGATATCGTGTACACAAAAATTATCTGTTGTATTTGAACTGTCATCGTTTTGAATTTGTAAGAAATAACCTGTAAATGAGAACATTGACCGATATAATCTTTTCAGTGTAAAACAATGCATTGGGTTCTAAATAAGTCTTTGTAACAAACAGACAATTGTAGATGGTCGCTCGGTAACGCTAAGTGGTTGATGATAAACAAGTAAAACATTGGACGCCCGGTTAGTTATCTGGAGATTAAGCCGTCGAACGCTAGGCCGAAGATCATGGATGAGATTCCCCGTGGTGATTTTCAGGAGGCACATTACTGAAAATCTAGGTACTTGTACGAATCAGCTGTTCAATCGCTCTTAGTTTTTAATAGATTTCCAACTTAGGTCTGTTTGGGGATATCAAGAATGTTGAATAATCTTGACAGACCTCTGTGCTAAAAGCAGAACTTAACTGGAGAATACGTAAAACCAATGGATTGTCGTGTAGCCAATATATCATTATTTGAGACGACTAAACAACTCGCACTACACGGATCCCGCTCAGAATCGAATTCAAGATCTTCCGGTTTTCTGGAAGATACAATATTTTCGAGCTACTCATTTCTCACATGTCCAACTTCAGTAAAACTGCGATATTAATGAATCATTGGATTCTGACTTATTTATCTAGAGAAATCGAACTTCCAGTGAGGACTGAAGCTACTAATCCGACACCGTAATATGGTCGTGGGTGCATACTTTCATTGTTAAGATGCAACAGTTACTCAATACTCTCCAGTTTTTAACGATTATTCGGAGATCTTAGTTGATGCCGAAAACTATCGTCAAATCGAACTGTTTCTGAGAATTCTTTACCTCTTAGTCAGCCACTCAATGATATGAATCTTGAACGTTGATTTTGGGTGGAACACTTTTCTTTTGAAGCATACAGTCAATACAGTTTACATACAGTAAGTATATTCGATTTATCGACCGTGAAGAATAAAGTGAAAATTGTGATATTTTTTATTTACAATATATTTCATTCCCCTCAACTCTAGTTGTCAGTGTATTTTGCTTAAAACATCGTAAGATTAATGTGTTCTACAAATTGAATTTCCGTTAATTTCCATTGATTTACTGTTACACGTAGTTCCTAACAATGAACCAAGATATTATCAACCAATATGGTTTCTGTATAATTTATCTGCAACGTGTATACTTGTAGTTTCTGTCGTGTTTTGGTTTTCATTGTCGAACATTCCATTGGGTAAGCTAAATAATAATTATTATGAGTTTCAATCAGTCTATTTATACATTAATAATTGTTTATTAAACTAATCTGGTCCAGACTGTAAAAAATGTATTTAGTTCTGATGAACCGACATCAACTAAACAACTGTTGGAGACCAGTTTTTCTCTAACAGCTTTTGGGTGACTGGACGCTAACGAATGATGCAGAATTAGTACGTCGGAATCGTCTATTACTCGATATTTTTGAACGGATTTTTAGTTAGTTACTTCTCAATGAAAACAACCTTAAACCTTCCTTCTGTGTGTATGTATGTATGCCAACACCGGATGTTACTTGAAGAATTGCAACTTTATATAACAATGGGGATGTAGTGATACGTTGAATAAAACTGACGGTTAACTTAATTGAAAGTTTATTTCATTATGATCCCAGTTTAAATATCATAAACAAAGTACATCTATTAACTACTAATGGTGAAAATAAAACTTTAGAAATAGGTTAGATAAACAATATAGTCACAGACCTCAGAATCTATTCTATGATTGAATGAAAATTTAAATAGGTGTCACTTTCTATCTTTTTATGTTGGGGATACTAAATATTCTTCCTGGTCAAAAATCTACTAATTTTGATATTTATAGAAATTCGCTAAAACATAAACATATTGTTAAACCTTAAAAATTTTAGGAATTGTTCATACAAATCCCTTAGTTTGTATAGAATAACGACTGTCTTCACCAGTTTAATAAATTAAGTAAAGTTTAGTGACTATTCGGATGAAATTTCTCTAGATTTGTAAAACTCATCTGAAATATTATCTTCTATAGCATTCATAATATCAGTATCATCATGAACCTCACTCTTATCAACCGCAAATACTTTCACAATTCTGATAAGTCTCGAACTTGAAGGGTCATTATCAGTGTTAACAGGAAAATTATGTATTTTCGATGATTTTTGTGAGATAAATGACATAACCTTCAATGTTTCGTCCACTTTCGCCAACCTATTTAGTATGCTTAGTTAATTTGTTTTATCTAATTTTTTATCACTGAGTACTGGTTAATGTTATATTTTGATGTTATGTTTGGTTAGGACGCTAAAAAAACAAACAGTATATGATGGCCTTGTGTAACAATAAAATAATTACTTCATTGAATTGCTATTCCACTAAATCTAAGACATTGCTTCAGGATTGCTTTGCTTTAATATCCGGACAGGTCACAACGAGGGAAGTAATTGAGGACATCGATTTGAACTTGAAGATGAGCATGATAACTTGATTCATTACTAATGATATTCCGTTTTATGATGAGTCACTGAAGTTTAATTTACTCAGTTCTGTTCGAAACAACCTTATTTGTTACATTATCGTTCCACGGTTATTTTGTGTAGAATTATTATCTGAGCATTCCAGAAAACAAGAAAGAGAGTTGGACAAAGGACAGAGACAAGAATCATTTGAAGCTAGAGAACTGTAACTATATGTTATGTAAGCATTATTAAGAAAGTCACAGAATTACAAAATCTCAAATGATGGAAAGAATGGAGATCTTATAAAAATTTCAAGTGGTCAGATCATAAGGTATAGGGAACCGTGAATTTGTACTGTTGTATCACCAAGAAGACGAAATGATATCGAAATACCTGTAGATTAAAAACTGGTTGTTTAACGAGTCATAGATTCATTTCTGGTATCTTGATAACCGACACCTAATAGAAACGTAATAACTTGGGTTGTTTGTGGTGGACCAAAAATTATATTACCTCAAAAATAACAATTAAGTTATTAAGTCCTAATGTTAATATTATAGTATACAAATTATAAGTTATAAACACAAATAAAAGGGACGTTACTTATGTCAACAGGTTGGTGCGTGTTCGGTTAGGTTTGGTACCAGAATCCACAATTATAGATAGTTAATAATTCCAGTGAGGTTGATGTTGTTCCGGTAACATAGCCAAACGTAGAATATAATGGAAATGTCGCCACAGTCTATAAATGTAAATGATGTTTCAGAGTTCAGTTATCGTAACTACTAGCAACGGAGAATAAGAGATGTGTGTATAGTAGTGTATTTACGAGCGGTTAACAACGTGTGTCATGCAATGAGCAGTACAGAACGGAAAGGTGTGTGTTCAAGGTCATACACTTAAACAAAATGTACAATCATTTTGGGGTAAATGTACAGACTGTGAAAATTAACAAGATAAATGCAAATGATACCAAAAACTATTTACAAAATAGGTTTGTTATGTCTATCTCCACATGTTATTAAGTTTGAACGATTTAAAAATCATTGGTGTCAGTTCTGTTATTGTTGAGTTGACGCATAATCACACTGATAAGGGTTTGTACAGCCTTTAGTTGTGGATGTTTTCAGATGTTCTTATATGCAGAAAGGTGTGAATCGGATGAGTGAAAGACATGAGAATCCACAATTTTGTGTGGGATATGTTATAAAACTGTTTAATTTGAAACAAGGCTAATTGGAGTTTTGTTGACATGACGATCTGAGAGAACGTGTGTTTAAAGTAAACCTAGATGAAGTAGCCTCAATAATTTCTATTATTCGACTGACTGCAATATAAATGAAAATCAATCTGTGTAGAAATCGTAGGAAATTTAATTAATACAATTAGTAACATCACTCGAGTGTAAAACTAACCGATTCCTTTGCTGTCTGTAATTTCATTGATGTGCAACATAACGTCTCTTTTGATCACAAAGATAACTAAATTTTCACTAACATTCCTAAGTCTGATAGGCATTGCATTTTCATTTTAACTTTCCATATTTGATTTACAGATGCATTCGCAAGTTGGCAAAGTGAAGTTAAACATTCATTAACTCCAATCTTGGTCGTGATTGACAAATGCCTTTGTGCTATTCCGATGCGAATGATACATGTAATTTATCCTTGCCTGGTCGGTTTGATATATAGTTTATTCACATATTTGTTTTGGTTACTCGGTGGTGCAGGTCCTTATCGTACAGGACAAGTTTATCCTTTCATTGATTGGAGTAAGCCACAAACAACAGTACTAACGTGCCTTAGTGCTTTGATTTGTACTATTTTATGTCATGTGAGTTTGATTTTTAAAATAATGTTAGATCTGAAAACATGTTCAATTTGATGGATAATATTTATAGCTTTTTGACCAGTCGATCTAGTTTAGAGATCACAACAATCAGTAGTGTTTACTATTCTTGGTTATTTGTGATTCGTTTCTTTAATAAGCTTAAGGGATCTGTACTCACAGACTTTATGGGTGAGTTGTTGATAAGTTAGAGATTGTCACATTTTGGCAATAAATGCTATTAAGTCACACTCGGAGTAGAACTTTATTGACATGATATAATTATGTTTTTCGATGGGATTATACATGAATACCGGAACAATATGTAGTACTTACTAGAATAAATAGGTGTAAATTGCTTAGACTAACCAACATTTCTTGTTAGCTACCAATAAGACTACGACAAAAACAGAATGACTACTTGGTTTGTTCACCGCCTGTATATAGTGTAAATAAAATCATCCACTTGTGTTCACGAAAATATTACGCAAACGTTTGTACAACTTCAGTATCACCACAGTGCTGATCAGTCTGTCAAACCTTGGAGATAAATCACTAAAACAAATAATAATGTAACATTTCAGTCTTGAGGTATAAATTCGAATGTGGATACTGTCAAAATCCTTTTCATTATTTCTTCATGAGATTTTCATTTTCTGGTGTTAAGTGTTGTTTTGATTGGGTGTTGTTTAAATAAATAGATGTTCTTCTGAAATTAGGTCAAAAATGTTATGCAATTTTCGTTTTTGAAATGATTATGGGATTTTAGATTATGTTTAATGAGGATTAAGCTACTGAGATTCTTCTGAACTATTTTAATTTAGTACAGGGTTGTGGAGACCGTTGAGTTTTTAATTGAGATCATCAACCGACCAATGTTAACCAAACATTAAAACCTGGAGGCATCGGAAGGCAGGAGACTCCTCAGCAGTACACACCCAAGGCCCCGCACTCGGGATTCGAGCACAGGACCCTAGATCTCGTGCGCGAATGCCCACGATCTAGACCACTGAGTCGGCATCCAATGGTTTCAGTGTCCGATTTCAACCAATCCATGATATTGTGCCACCATTTTCTTAGATGGCACCGTAGGACTCCATATCAATTAATTATTGAGGATAGAGTTTTGGTTCGATGAAATCTCGATGTACTTCCTCTGATTATTTTTTGTGTATGCTAACTTTTTGGACCATCATATTCATCGGTATGATTTACTCTTTTAACTAAACACTTTACTATTACCTAATGTTTTTTTGACGATGTCGGTCTTTAAAAAAGTACTATTTGTTTTCCATGTTTTTATCTATACTAGTCGATGGAAAATCAAAATAACTGATTTCACATGTTTTCTATGCAGCAATAGTTATTTATCATTTTGAACTATTGAAATCATTCTTTTGAAAATCGAGTAATATATATTACAGTAGTTTACAGCCTTCCCATGATTTTAGGTTGAAAGACATGACGCTAACTAAGTGAAAGTGTATGTCACTTTAATAGTAATGAAGTGGATACATATTATTCTGTGGTGTCTTCGTAAAACTAGTACTTCTTTGAACTACTTACCCATTGAGAATTAATCAAATTTCAACAGGAAACGAAAAGGAAGAACTAGGAATCAAATTTCATGTCTCGAAGAAATCCAAAAGCGTAAACTAAACAAAAAGTTAGAAAACGACAAAAGGAAAATCGAAAAGCAAAGTGAATTTTCGAGGGTCTTGTTTAATGTACATTGTAAAGGACTTCTAAATCAGTGGTGTTTGACTTCTTTATACTTGATTGCGCGCTTACAACAAATCCCACATATTATACGTCCATTTGTGCTCATCTAGTTCTATCTACCTTAAACTGCATTATTTTGGGAATTTTTAGTTAGTCAGTTTGAATGCTTCTAATTATCATAACCACTTCATCAATACCGAAAATATTTAGCTGTGTTATTATGAATGAAAGTGGAAGATTAGTATTATAACTAACTTCTATTTCAATTTATCGAAATGTTACAAAAACGTTAATGCTAAGATACAAAAAATTAGAAGCTATATATGTTTCTCTTAAATTGTTTCTAAGTGTTATATTCAGATGATCTAGGCCAGGGTATGTATTTTAGTTCCATTATTGAAGTGTATCACGTTGAAGTTAGTATAATGTAAGGTAGATTTCTTGTATGGCTTTATTAAAGATGAATTCATTTAATTATCTGATCTCTTCTTTGTTATTCAATAGGCCATCCTTTACATAATCTATTTCATACGAGTGAATATAAGCGTTAAATTAGGTGGTCGAGGTTTCATGCTCATTAAAGAATCGAAGGAGCCACACTGTTACGACAATGAGGAATTTGATTTGAGCGAAGAGATCAGTGAGAATGGGAAACAAACTATCCAGACGAGGAAGATACAAAATCCACAAGCAGCGTATCAAAAGTATGGCACAATTGAATAAAATATTATTTCTCCATATACACAGTATGCAGACTAACTTTTCATATGATTATCTTTAAAGAAATTGCAGGACATTGATTTAGTATGTGGTGGATACTATTTGTTAGTTTCATATTCATTTCTATTGTCCGATGTTACTGTTTCTACTTCTTATACTGGAATTGTGCTTCTAATAAACACCGACCAGGATATTAAGGCATGAGCTTTACCAACAGAAATCTTGCCATTTTTTCTAAATCTAAATAAGATACGACATAGGAATGTTAACGGTCAAATATACTCTTTGAAATTATGGTCACTTATCGATGAAATCAAGATCGGAACTAGCCTAAATCTGAAACCATTTTCACAATATGGAATATTTGAATAGTTCTGTTATTCTATCTTAATGATATTGTTAAGTCGAATGATAATATTTGGCTTACTTGTCTAGTAATCCCTTCAACGATACATGGGGTTCTGAGTGGTTGAAATATGTCAGGGCCTTCTAGTGAAACTGATAGATGAGTTCAAGAGCCGATAGTGTTATCTGCCTGAGATTTAAAATATCACCATTTGATATTAATCCAACTTAGAGAAATAACTGTTCGCCAATAAACTCTCGAATTCTCCTAAGTCAATAATACTTTGGTTTATTTACAACATGTAGGGAATCACTTCAATAAGCTAGTTTATTGTGAATATTGACTGGGAATCAGCACACATTTTATGTGTTTCGAAATTCGCCTCTACCGACAAATAGTGAGTTTGCTGAACGCTGTTTATTTCACACATTTGAGGATCTGAGACATACAATGCGAAGTGATGACTCATTGCCAGAGATATTTAAACGTCGAATTAACCATGATGACGATATCCATCTTGTGATATTCTAAAGATAAAGAATAGTGACTTCGACAAATTGTATCACACAATGTGGTCTTACATAATTCAACTTTCTCGGGGAATACTGAAATGACTCACACAAATATTCCACTCCATGTTGGGCAAAAAACCTTGTGGGTGATTGGGTTGTATTGATGTTTATTCAAAGGCTTGGAAACATGATTCCTGAAGGAATGCCACTGGAGATAACTGTATGTACGTAGTTGTAAGTGTATTCACATCACCCAGTGAATGGTGTTCATATTAAATGTACAAGTTTAAATGTGCCAGTGACGTTGTGGAATGATGGTTGGAAATTAGGCAAAACGGTCGGTTCTTCGTTCATTGGATAGCGCACTCACTACCTACAAATTTTTTATCCCCCAATCGATTAGGACACCTTATCATATCTACTTTATGATTGAGATTTCGTACAAGGACAAGTGGTTTACATCTTACGAACAAAACTGAGATTACAAACAAAACAATTGAGAAAGATCTCAAAAAGTGAGAAAGCTAAATTTTCCCACATAGGAGGAACTTTAATAATACATACGTGTTGGAGCTAAAGTTTATGATTCTGTCTATAATGAGGGTTACACGTAGAAAAAGCACAATACATGGTATAACAGAGTCGTTAAATTTTTGTATGAAATAAAACCAAGCAGAACCAATCTGCGAGTATACAAACATCATTGTTTAGTATAAATTACAAATAAACAGTAATGGGAAAATGAAATTCTAATACATAAGTGAAAAAACATCTTAACTTGGTTTATTCTTATGAAAATTATTATTAAACGATAGAAAGAATAACATGATCTCTGGATAATGATGAGTGAAACATGAAGACGAATTACCAACAGAATGTGGAAGCATAAAAGCTTTTTACAGCAGTGATAGAGAATTGACAGTCCATAAAATAAAATTGGTGACTGAGGATGCAACTAAAAATACAGTTTTACTATTCTTATAATATATGTAGTAAACAGTAACAGTAAGATAATCTTTACCTTAAAATTATATCGGGAAAGTAGTAAAATGAAGATTAATTGCGCTTATGAACAGGGAAAACACACTGTAGTTTACATTAGGATTATAAGTTGAAAAAGTCAATTGCTAAGTGAGAATATATGATACAAGAAGATAGTCAAATAATTAAGCATTCATATGTATGAATATACTTGATAAGATAAATAGAAGAAGCAAGTACATAAACACATACATTGAAAAAACAAGTGTGCGTCCAACGGAACTTATCATAGAATCAAGAAACTGAATCCGTCGATTGGTCAGCCAGGGAGACTGATGTTTGAGGCCCACTAACGAAGGCCAACTAGAGAATCGAACGAACATAAACACATGAAACAAAGTGATCACTGGTGAAAATACTAATTAAACAACAAGCAATTAGTACAAAAAGATTACAGATAGCCAGTTGAGTATTGAAAATATACTACGTGAAACAACTGTGATTTTAAAGATAACATTTTGTTCTTAAGAAAATAGTTGAGGGCGAAGAATAACAGTGAGAAATTATGTTGATAAGGAAAGACTATGGTTTTCGTAGGGTTACGATGATGCGAAATATACTTGGGATTACAGTCCTGTGATTGCAGGAGATAAACACCATTTTCCTGAGGTGATTCTCGATAGGGAATTCTTGTGACTTATCCTAAGGCTATTCTTACTGATTCCGAATCTTACTATAACTAATCTGAACATATTGATGGATAATTATGTACAACATTATGCTATTTAACTGCACATATCCCCATATGAGGAACGAGAATCACTGAGTGATAAATACTTTGAACAAGCTATTCTGCATAGTTTAAAAAACTATTTACCTAATCATCTAGGTACTATTTGATAAATGCAGAATATCGCTTGTGATGTACATCTTGTTTCAAAGAATGCGTTATTCTATTATTTCATAAACATGTTACGAGTACAACACAAATACATGGAGGGATGGTGGCTCATTGCTTAAGGTTTTTGATTTCCTGTCATTAGATTGCAGGTTTAAGAATCCCTCCACCTATTTCGGCATGAGCGACTGGAAAATATCACTAATCATCAAACGGAGTGTAGTTCAAAGCAGAGCGCATACTTTTGTACCTGGTAAATAAGTTAATAGTGTTAAACAAACGAACAAATTTTTACGAATAAACAGTTATCAAAAAGATCAAAATACTGTGTAACTAATATCAATTGTTTACAAAAAATAAATCACTTAACAGTAAAAGACATTCGAGGTATGGAAGCAGTTTAAATCCATGCTCAGACTTACAGGAGTTGATATTGGCAAAATAATTGTAGTCCCTAAAGAAGAAGACACAGGGGTACCTAGGGTAGTCATTCCTGCATTTGCTACTTTGATATCTGGAGTCGATACGGAATGAACATTATTGTTTTGTATATCATTTGAGCCGTTAACTACAGCATACTGTCTGCCAGCCAGGGATCGTGAAGGTATGTTGGTTAAACCACTGGGGCCAGTTGATAATAGTGTTGGACTCAAGATCACAGCCGAACCAACCGCGGGGGGGACGGTAGACATTGTGGTGGGAACAGATGATTCATCAATGAATGAAGACTCAAGTTTGCTAATCTAAGTATAGGAATTCACACAAATCACTGATACTCATAATGACTTACATGGATAATGAAAATAGTGAAAACGAAAAAGATATGAGTACGCCAAATTCGAAGTCGCAGAGGTTTACAATTTTTTCCCATCACCTAAATGTGACTTCATTTTAATTTGTGCTGATAACACGTGCTTTCCATACTGTCATTTTGTATGATGAATCTCACCTGTTATAACTGTTTCCACTCACTTTTAGTAACATAACAGACAGAAACGTAATAGAAGCGCCACGAATGTTAAAATATAATGCATCTGTGAGTACCACGAGATTGTTTTACCGTATTGCTAACTGGAATTCTGAATACAGACTTAACACAACTACAAATCGATCGTAACATGCAGATGAATCTATTCTTGTTTCATTACACAAAAATAAGTAGTTTTACATGTATTTGAAATTAAAGTAACACGGACACAAATCTCCATATAATAAAAATTAAACTGATTTGTAATTTGAGGTTATCCAAGTTCGTGAGTGGCGTAATAAATTCCACATATTGCAGCTAATAAGCACCTTTAAATAGACAACGGCACAGACCATCGGTTTGAGATAAAAACAAACAATACTTGACTTACAGACACCTAGAAAAACACAACTATTATATTGATTGAAGTGTAATAATCCATTACAGTCATTCGACTAAACAAGTTATGTTTCTTAGATGGTCTTTGTTGCTTTTGCAGATGCCAGCGTTATTTATTATGAAGAACATAAGAATATGGTCAGAATGATTAAGACACGCTGGTATGTTTTAGGTGTTAGGTTACTCATAATGACACCGCAAATAAAATAATGAGCAAGGGCTAAATGTCAATATAGATCTTGTATTCCATATTTGCTTACAAATACAACCATAAGGACAAAAAAAGGCAATGAAAGAGAATCGATTTTTGCCTGTTGGCAACAGTCAAAATGGCCAAACAGCCTATGACTATATGGATTTCTGAATTTTTCTTCAATACAAGCATAGAAGTACAACCGGAAGCACAGATGACTAGTAAAAATTTGAATTCTGAGTATTTTATATTGTAATATTGATCTATCTAAAATTCTGAACAAAGAAAGAAAATTTTCAGTCAACTAAACTGAGCAAAACTTGAAAAACTAATTGAACAAGTAGGAAGCAAGTCAATTTTCAAACAAAATTGAATCCCACTATAAGAACAACGAGGATGGGGGCGATGCTCGGAAGTTATTTGGCCAGCGACGATAATAAAGACATGAGAAAAACCAGGGAAAAATAGCCAACACGTTTTTTAAACAAATAATAATAATCACAGGCAGTGGTACTTACTTCTCGAAACTTGACTAGAAACGCTCTAAGTGGTTCAATGTAATTATCAAAGCCAAGTGTATTCATAGCACACAAAATGTCTTCGCCGTTAATAGTTTTACGCTTTTCAGTTTGACACTTATCAGCAGCTCTATTTTCATATAAAAACAATATAAGGAAACTAACTCGCTAGTGATGAAACTGATAAACTCTGATACACATTCTTGCACACATTCTTTAGCATCTTTAGCAATCTGAAAAACACAAAACGGATTTACTGACAGTATATAATAAAATACTTTTCCATTTCCAGGAACTGCTCTTTTCATTATTTTAGCAACATTAGCTATTGGCAGGAAACGGTCCTTTCAAAATATTAGATTTTAGCGTTACAACTGACTTGTTCACGAAGTGGTGATCTCTGTTCGATATCACCTGCTTGATAGTCCACATCATGATCTTGCAAAGAACCATCTAAGCCCTCATAATATGAAGGTTCTTGATAACTAGATTCTTCACCCTGACTGTCTGTGCTGTGCTCCATAATACTGAAACGGTTAAATGAAAGATAGTAAATTTGACGAACTCGGATAAGAAAATATAAGTTGGTAGTATCTTAGCTAAAAACTAACAACTACATCCCAAGTATGGAAGTGAATCTGTTCATGTATCTGTAATTTCGTTTGGGCAAGTTATAGACAATTCATTACCAATTATCTGTACATTGCTAGCTGAAGTAAAAAGACTAAAAAAAGAGAAAACAATCATATTGAGATTCGCCTAAACAATTAAATAACTGACTGTAACTGCTATCTTAGAGTGTAATTTGCCCGTCTTGATGACCTATTCCAGTCAGTCAGTTACAACGTAGAACTTCGTACGTACGTACATCAGTTTGAGTTGCCATATCACATTAGCACAGAGATGAAGTTGTCGATTCGAATCCCATAGTGGTAGAAGTAGTAAGAGTATAAGTATTATGCGAAAGATAAGGGATTGAAGATGTTATTGAAGGAGTATAATACGGTGAAATTAATTTGGAAAGAGAAAAAGGATACGGACATGAAGAATTCAGAAGATTAGAATTTGGTAGAACACAAAGAGTGGATGCACCTTCGCCATTGAAAACGATTTTGAGCCATGTTATTCAAGGTCTCTAACCATCGATTGCTATCATCTCGCGAATCCCAACCAGGTAGTCTACACCTACCAGCATGGCCCAGTCCAATTGTCAGCGACTTCATGGATTTATGCCATGTTTTGGTCTGGCCGCCACTAGCTTTCTTCCAACTTGCTCCTACACCATAAAGCATTGCACGTCGGGGCAGTCGGTGGTTGGGCATACGTAACACATGTCCCAGCCTTCTCAACTGGTGAAGTTTCACTACTTCATCAATCGACTTGCCATCCTTACCTAGTACCCGTTTCCTAACAACTGCATTACTTACCCGGTGGTCCCATGATATACGAGAAATGCGTCGAAAACACCTATGATCGAACACTAGTAGCCTACGAATATCCTCTACTCTTATCGGCCATGTTTCACTGCCGTAAAGTAGGACGGAACGGACTGCTGCACAGTAAACCCGTCCTTTTGTTGCTAAACGGATATCTCGCCTACGCCATAAATGGCGCAAGTTGGCGAAAGCTAGACGAGCCTTCTGTATCCGTTTTGAGATTTCGTCACACACCAGACCACAAGGGCTGATGAGACTCCCAAGATAAGTGAAGCTGTCAACACGCTCAACTACTTCACTCCCTATCATTAGTTCAGGTGTCGATGCAACCCAATCCTGAAGTAACATTTTGCACTTCGAGGGAGAGAATCGCATCCCGAACATGCCTGCATTGTTGCTTATAGTGGTCAGAAGACTCTGCATTTTGTCAGCGTCTTTACCGAATAAAACTATGTCGTCGAGGTATTCTAAGTCAACAAGTGAATCTCCCGGTAAAAGTTCAACTCCAGGAGATTGAGATGATGAAAGTGATATCTCTAAAAGCATGTCAATGACAAAGTTAAACAAGAATGGGGAGAGTGGACAGCCCTGACGAACACCACTTGAGGTAACCAATTCTGATGACAGTTCGCCATAGGCTCTAACTCGACCAGTTGTGTTCGAGTAGAGAGCCTTTATGAGGTTAATGTACTTCTTTGGTACTCCTTTCACTGACAAACACAGTCATAGAACCTCACGATAAAGTGTCAAATGCCGCCTTAAGGTCAATAAATACTAAGATTGTGGGACGTCTGAATGTATGTCTATGTTCTAGGATCTGACGTAGAGTGAATATCTGGTCTATGCAACCACGTCTAGGTCGGAGACCAGATTGATTTTCTCTAGTCTGCTCTTCACGAGCTTTGGTTAGGCGTCCAAGTATTATTGAAGCTAATATTTTAGACACTAAATTAGTCAAACTGATCCCTCTGTGATTGTCACAGGAGGTCTTTTGTCCTTTCTTATAGACTGGCACAATCAGTGATTGGGACCAGTCAGATGGAATTACGTCCAGTTCCCAGGTTCTACCTAAGACCTCAGTCAATCTCGTTGCTAGTACTGGACCACTATCCTTAAAAAAATCTCAGGGGTAAACCTGTCAGGGCCTGCGGCTCTCCCTCGCTTCAGATTTCCTATAGCTTTTTCAACCTCGTAGAGAGTTGGAGGACTTACATCAATTCGCCATTTAGGACGACTGGGGATCGTGGGTGACTGAAGGCCAGTTGAACTGATCCCTAAAGTGTTCTGCCCATCGATCCAATCTTCTGGATTGAGAATGAATGATATGCTCATCTTTGTCTGAGATAGTTTCGCTAATAGTTGGGTTCCTAATGCCGGTTTCTTTAATAAGCCTTAATAGCTGTCTGCTGTTACCTATTGCCGCTGCCTTCTCCATCTCTTATGCTTTCGCTACCCGCCACTGTTCCAGTTAGTTAAACTCTTGATGACCTATTCGAGTTTAACTAACTGGAACATTTGTTTCCGCAAGGTCGAAAATGCCAAGCAGTTTGTTTGCAGAGTGGCAGGTCCAAGGGCGAAGTAGTACTTCCGATTGTACTAGTGTGACGACAGTAAGGTGTCTTCCCTTAATCGGTATCTTCGGCGATCCTACCTTTACAAAACGAAGGGTCAGAGAAGACCGACCTTGGAAGCACCAAGCCTCACTGCGAGCGACAGATTTCCACTGAGGCAGTAGGCCTTTGAAGGTACCAAGATAACACATCAGAAAATGCTTAGTGAGACTGTGACCGGCCTCAAGCAACTGTCTTGTGGGTTCTAAGATCACACCTCGCGGCCGTCGCAACCCATAAACCAATTTACTTGGCGGGTCCGTAACGAAGGATAGTGTGGGGAACTAAGTGACGTCAGCATCCATACCTCTAATAAAACAAAATCTAATTTTCCATTTATTTCCTCGGGTTTCAAAATAGATTATTGCCACCATTGGTAACGATCTGAGTTTACGAAATCACGTATCACGTTTTTTAAAACTGTGCTGAAAATTTTAACATTCGAACCCTGCAGAATCCTAGCACATCTAATCACGATGACATTTGGTTAGTATGGAGAGCCAACACGAATTGCTCATGTTTATGGAGATCCGCAGCAAGCCGACAAAAACCATTACTTATCCCTAAAGAATATGACACCGTACTCATTTCAATAACGCCCATCTTACAGAATACTTAGTAGACTAAAGTAAAATTAAGTCGCATAGACAAAATAATTACTGACGACCTATTGTGGCTAGTGGTTCGAATAAAAGCTATAAAACTTCATAGGTTTTAAAAGGTATAAGTAGAAAGCCAGGTGAAACAGGTTAATCCTTGTGATCTATAATTAATGTGAAGACAAAGTCTGGCTTCAGAAGCTAAACCCGGAGTCGCTGATAAGTTCTGGAAAATAAGTCCAGCAATTTCCGAAGCTGCAAAGGCGAACGATTTGACCTAGATTCTAGAATTCTCTAAGGATGGACTGTTAGATGATCGTTCGAGGTGAAAACAAAAAGTCAGAGGAATACAGAGAAGTACGGTTAATGAGAATAAATATCTGAGAGCAATGTAGTAACAAACTGCCTACCCACTATATATCATTCATGGGAATGGTTTACGTATGAGAAAACTAGTTGATTTATACTAAAAATTTCATGAGTTCTAGGAAATTCCTTAATCACTTATATTTCTAACTCTGCGAATGAAACAATATTTCGACAATGAGTCAAGCTTACAATGAAAGGAGAGCTCAGGAGAGCTTTTAAGGTCTACTATTTTGTACGCTTCACTAATTTAAACTTTTTTGAGTCAAAGATACCAAGTAATTTAAGTGCTTTGTATTTTGAATGAGTTCGAACTGTCACTAATGGGATGGAAGAAAACTTCTGCTTAATGGGCATTTGTTTCTAAAGTCAACTGAGTGAAGTAGTTTCCAAGTGCCTAACCATACAAAGCAGCATATCTTAAACAAAGTAGCATTTAACACTGTCATATCAATAACAATATAAAGGACCGTAGTGAAGTGATACATTACGAAACCAATCGAAAGTATGAAAACCACCAAACGACAAAGGAATTCCCACCTGAAGGTCAAAGCCAAGTTCTTAATAAACACACAATTCCAAAATGATAAGTACAAACAATTTCATTTTTTTCGTATACAAAAATGTGATCTGAAAGACTGCTTCAACTATTTTAGTTAGGACTTGAAGCATCATTATAGGTTGCTATATGAAAAATAGACACAACGGTGAGATGGTTAACGAATTCGAAAAACAAATGCTCCGTTTGTACGTAAATAGCCTTCCTCGTCTTCTATCATCATCGGTTTTGCTGTATGCTGACGTTGTTAAGATATGGAGGGCGATAAAAAGTAAAGTTGGTAGCCTAGAAATTCAAAATGACCTGGAGAAATTATCCAAATGGTCTCAAACCTAGCAGTTGCCGATAGATACTTTCAAGAGTATTGTAATGCATATTGGTTATCAAGGTACATATACACACATGATGAATAACATTGGGCTATCTGTCGTCCAGACACACAGTGAATTGGGAGTCATTGATGGCCCAGACTTAAAATTTACTACAAAATGCCGTTCAATAGCCACCAAAGGTTTTATAACCATATGGTCAGTACGTAGAGCCTTTAGTCATGTCGATGCTAAAACGTTTTTGACTCTGTATACAATATTCGTGCGTCCTGAACTTGATTACTGCATACAAGCAGCTAGCCCTTGCTTGAGAAAAAACAATGAGCTTTTGAAAAAAGTTCAGAGAACAACAACTAAGCTGATTCCCGGAATAGCGAAGCTCCTGTATGATGCTCGACTTGGCAAACTAAAGCTATTCCCGTTGTCATATCGAAGAACTAGAGGTTACCTGATTAAAATTTTCAAATCATTTAGTGATAAATTTGCACGTGATTTGCTCTTGTAATGGTATATGAATCCTCAAAATAAGTAGCTCTGTAAGTGTTCGACATTGGATACTGACCACATTAGTTTTAAATGAACTCACCTAGCTGAAGGCTCACGTTCATGCATCCGCACCAGATC